ATAATATTGAGTGACACGTGTCGTTTTTGTTCCTACATGGCGTCACGCGTGACGCAAGCAGCCAGCTAGACATATAAATTCATCACCTGGGTTTTATTTTCTACCACATTCTACACATAAATGTGAAAGCCAGATCTCTCTTCAAACCTTCCTACTGAAGCAATGTCCGGCACCTGCGCACACATCTTGGTCTACCCGTTCCAATCATCTGGCCACATCATTCCCCTCCTCGACCTCACCCACCGCTTCCTCACCCGCGGCCTCACCGTCACCGTTATCGTCACCCCCAACAACCTCTCCCTTCTCGACCCACTCTTTTCCCGTCACCCCTCCTCTTCCCTCCAATCCCTGGTCCTCCCCTGGCCCACCATCACAAACTCGGCCCCCAGCCACCACAGACTCTTTGGCATGTTGGCTGGCTTGCGTGATCTCCATTACTCAGCAATTCTCCAGTGGTTCCGATCACACCCTTCCCCACCCGTCGCAATAATCTCTGATTTCTTCCTTGGATGGACTCAAAATCTCGCTTCGGAGCTGGGTATAAAACGTGTTCTCTTCTCGCCCTCCGGAGCCTTTGGTTACTCCGTAGGCCAGGCAATATGGAAAGAGTTACCGAAGAAGGGAACAGACGGTGATATCGACAACGAAAATTACATCGTCACGTTCCAGACGCTACCGAATTCTCCTAAATTCGCTTGGTATCAGATATCTCATCTTTACAGAAATACCAAAGAAGGAGACCCAGATAGGGAATTTTTCAGAAGCAACTCACTGAGTAATATGACAAGTTGGGGAAGAATCTACAACACGTTCTCTGAGTTAGAACGCGTTTACATCGATCATGCGAAGAAGGAAATCGGTCAGGATAGGGTTTGGGCTGTGGGACCCCTTCTGCCACCTGAGGATGATGCGGCTGACCTGGCAAACCGTGGTGGGTCCAGTACAGTCCAATGTTCCGAGTTAATGGCGTGGCTCGACGGCTGCAAGGACCATTCTGTTGTCTACGTGTGCTTCGGGAGTCGTTATGTTCTGACACGTGAGCAAATGGATGCGCTGGCAGCTGCGTTGGAGAAGAGCGGGGTCCATTTCGTATGGTGCGTGAGGTACCCCGGCAGTGGACCCACTTCGAGCGATGACGGCGTGGTCCCAGATGGGTTCGAAGATCGTGTGACCGGGAGAGGGTTCTTGATCAAGGGATGGGCGCCACAAGTAGCGATCTTGAGGCATCGGGCGGTGGGAGCGTTTTTGACTCACTGTGGATGGAATTCCACGCTGGAAGGGATTTCGGCTGGCGTGGTGATGCTGACGTGGCCAATGGGTGCTGACCAGTTTTCTGATGCACGATTGTTGGTTGATCAACTTGGGGTGGGGATTCAAGTGGGAGAGTCGACTCAGATTATTCCTGATTCGACCCAGTTGGCTCGAGTTTTGACTGAGTCGGTGGAGGAGGACATAGCGGAGAGAAGTCGAGCCAAAAAGTTGAGTGAGGCGGCGGCGAGCGCGGTGATGAAGGGGGGAAGCTCGGAGAGAGATTTGGATGCATTTGTTGAAGCGGTGAATCAGCTTAGAACAGATTGATAACTATAGAGAATAATGTTTGCTTTACCTGTTTTACACATTATGATTTGTTGTGATAGAAAAGCTGGATGTTTGTTGCTTAAAAGAGAAAAAAGGGAGAAAAAAGAATGTCATATATTATTGCCAAGTGTGGTAGGGTTGATCTATCAGACAAAAAGAAAAAAAGAAGTTATGTAGGATTGAAATTTGGAATCCTAAGATTCCTAAATCCTAACACCTCATAATCTCTGTTTTAAGAACTGTATCAAAATTTTATTTTATTGCAAAAGACCTTAATTAACATTTTCAATTAACAAATTAACACTAGCACAAGGGAGTTGATTGTTGAACTTTTTTCTTTTTGGAATAAAATTTATGTATTCTTCATATATGATTGAAGGTTTATTATTATTGTTATTATTATTATTATTATTGCACAACTGAGGCAGCCATAGAACAACTTAAATACCACTATTTCCTAAGTAGTTCTTAAATGTTAGGACAATTATACATACACCCAAACAATCAACACCCATCTCAACATCAAATGTTAAAATGAGGAGAGGTAAATTTATAATTTTACTGTTCATAAGCCTTGGGTGTTGAGATGAGTGTTGATTGTTTGGGTGTATGTATAATAATCCTAAATGTTAATATGTTATGAAAAATATTAGAGGGTATAACCTTTTTTTTTGTTATTTGTTGGAGATTTTATGGAGACAATTAGAGCGATATTAATAGAATTAGGACAAAATGAAAATCTGAATCAAATCTCCATTTTTGTAATTAATTCAAATCTTAAAATCTCGTATTTTCTCTATATTATTATTTTTTATATTTTATCTTCAACACCCGAGGTCAAAATAAGGTCATATATAATCCTTTTAAAAGGCAAGTATATAATTTGAATAATAATAAATGAAACCAAAACTTAACATTAATAATGTGGCACAAACCACTTTATTTAAAATATTAAAAGATGAACTAAATATTATTTAATAATTAATTATTTTTATCTTTTTAAAATTATATATTATATGTATCAACTAATTTAACAATATGATTTATATCAAGTCATTAATCATAAATTTTTATCATTCCTATCATTACTCATAATTTATAACCCTTAAAACTTTTATTTGTAGAGGTAGGTCATTACTTATGGTGGTCAATTAAACCACACCTTAAAATCTCTTATTCTTTATCATTGATTTTACACCTTTAATTTCATATCTTTATTTAAAACTTTTATAGAAAAAAAAAAATCTTTTGAAAAAAGTATTGCTTCCTTTATTCAACTTTAGTTGATCTATATTAATTTTTTTACTTTTCAGATATTAATTCAAGATGAAAATTTAATAATTGAATGATTATTATTATATGTATTTTTTAAAATATTTTTATTTAATAAAAAATTGATTATCATTTATATAACATTTTAAATTGTTATAAAAAATTAATATTCAAAGAATCAAAGTGTGGCTGGGAGTCTGGGACAACTAAAGGAATCTACATCCAATCTTGGGCCTAGAAAGGTCCGTCCGTGCAAGGGATTGCTGGGCCTTTACTTCCTCGGCTAATCCATTATCAATTAGGCTCTATAGCCATGCATTTCCTCAGGGGTAAAACATCTTTACCAACATTTAGGGATTAGTGTCTTAAAAAAAAAAAGAAAAAAAGAAAAAAAGAGAAAAAGGGAAGAATGCTAAGTAAGAAATTCTTTAATTTTGCTGCTCTAGTGGGCACAGAAGTACAAGGGAGGATTATAATCTTTCAATAGATTGGGACTCGAGTGCATAAACTCAGGGGTATTTGTAATTTCACCTATATTAGTATATTAGAAATATGATACCAGTTCATCCAAATTCTTAACCGAACTTCCACCCTCTTTAATAGCGGCTAACGCTGCCTCTCTCAACGCCGCCACTCGTTTCCTCCGACCACCATCTTCAGACACCGACTCTGCCACCAGTTGAGCCAGCTCCTCAGAGTTGGGAACTGTTTCTGCACCCTCACACACCCTTTCAGCCACCTTCAGCTCATCAACCAACAAGCTTGAGTTCACAAACTGGTCAGCCCCCATGGGCCAAGTCAGCATGTTGACACCGGCCACCAGCCCTTCCAATGTCGAGTTCCAGCCACAGTGAGTCAAGAACGCACCGACGGCACGGTGGTTCAGTATCATCACTTGTGGGACCCATCCTTTTATAATGAGTCCCCTCTTTGCCACGCGATCTTCAAACCCTTCAGGAACGACGCCGTATCTTCCCTCGTCGTCGAGGCCCTCTCTGGGCTCCTTCAAGCACCAAAGGAAGCGGACCCCACTCTTCTGTAACCCTGATGCAAGCTCCTCCATCTGATCGTTCCTTAAAACTGCTTGACTACCAAAGCAGACGTACACCACCTCGTGATCATCACATTCATCAAGCCACGTAAGGATATGATTAACCGAAACTGAACTGGGCCCACCTCTTTGTACGACCCCAGATTGATCATCCTGATGATCAGATGGTAACAAAGGACCCACCGCCCACACTCGATCATGCCCCATGATCTTCATCAGATGGTTCAGATAGTCTCGCTCCAATTCACAGAATGTGTTAATCACGAGCCCCCAACTCTCCATGTTCCCATGGAACGAATCCTTGATGAATTCCCCAGTTGGGTCTCCTTTAACATAGCTACGATAAAGAGGAGAGAGCTGCCACCACTGGAACTTTGGACAATTCGGAATTTCATCAAAAGAAACAACAGCCGTCCGATCATCATCATGGGAAGGGAGGTGACGCCAGAGGGAATACATAACGGACAATGCCATTGCACCAGAAGGTGAAAAAACGATGCTTTTGATGCCAAGCTGAGATGCCAGACGATGGGTCCACCCCGAGAAAAAATCAAATACGATGGCCACCGGAGGTGAAGGGTGGTTCTTGAACCATGCAAGTAAAGGGTCGTGGAGGTTGCCGAAGGCTCGGAAGAAGGTATTGAAGGACTTAGGGGGAAGGTCCTTGAAGTTTTCGATGTGGGAGGGGATGGAGGGGTGGGAAGGGAAAGGGAGGACTAAGGTTTTGATTTGGGGGTGTAAGGAGAGGAGTGAAGTTAAGAAAGATTGATTTTTAGGGGTGACCAAGATGGTTATGGTGAGGCCGCGGGTGGCGAGGTGGTGGGTGAGGTCTAGGAGAGGTATCATGTGACCTTGTGCTGGGAAAGGGAATATCAAGATGTGAACACCTGATTCCAATATCGTCATGATCGTTGAATGTCGTCTGACTCGACTCGTTAACAGCCAACTCCTCTATTACAGGGCCTGACTTGATATCGACTTGTTTTGCAGCTTTAGGTAGCAACTTCTTTGCATAATGCAATGACGGAATTTGAGGGAGAACGGTGAGGGTGAAGGTGGGGATGACATCATGACAGACAAGAGTTTTGCTCCTTTATAATATTGAAAGTATAATGATTTGTATATTGTTTAATTTAATATATCTAATAATATATTAAATTCAAAATTTAGTAAATTTAAATTTAAATTAAAAGTAAAAAAATTTAAAATTATATATTTCAATAATTGAATTAGTGCTGGTCATTTTTTATGTTTAAATGACGTAAATTGGGCGAGAAACAGTGGGTGTGAGGCTGGGAAGAACAAATCTTGGTAGTATTTATTTAGTTTTCAAATTTGCATTAAATGGAAAAAAATTAAATGCGATCCTGAAATGGCAATGAACAAAAATTATTTGGGTGGGAATGTTGCCACATTCTTTTAACATAATTGTTAA